GAGTGCGATGTAGTTAAAGGGATTAGAAATATATGATTATCGCCATCATGTTCTACTTCGTTTTCCCAAAGCATGACTAAAGTATATTTGACAAGCGTTTATTGCATTCCACATTGTATTTAGTATATGATGTAAGCATTACATGTATGCATATCCATATGTCTTCCTCACCTAATGCAAGAGGAGAAATAAAAGGAAAACACAAAGTTTATCCAAGCATGCTTCCATCATTATTATGCAGAATGTTACATTTCTACTTACAGGAGATGAAAGAACCACCCCATGATGCCAACCAAAACCCTTTCCATTTGTCCCTCAAACTTCCACCTCTAAAAAGACTTCTTTGTGTTAAATTTATGAATGAGGTTAGGGCTTACAAAAGTGAAGGATTAATAACATTTGCTTGAGCCAAACGTAGTATGATAGGCACCACGCACGCTCCCCTACGCGGCTCCGCCAATCCATCTCAAGTCTGACCTGCAGTACCCCTGCTGCTTTTCCAATCCTAGGCCTCTCACAAGTAGAGACTGCCAATGTAGCTGAACGGTGCCAAACTGTCTGGTGGTTTTGCGATATAGCCAAATGGGGACTACGATGAGATGAAACTCATTTCCACCCATGAGCCGAGCAAAGATATGAACTTAGGTGAAAGGATGGAGTACCAGGCCATGTAATGCTGAGCAGTCCTTACCAGCCACATACTTAGAGACAAGGGAAATCAGAATAAATTGGGGAAAAAAAAAAAACCAAACCAGACAACAAACTCTGCATGGAGACTTATTGGCCACAGAAAGGTATGTTGAGTGAATGTCAAAAAGATCCACAAAATAGCCCCAGAAGTATTTATAGTTTACTTTCTGACTTGCAAAAGAGAAGGACTGTCAGAATGGAATGCTAGACAACGCAAAGAATCTTTGACCTAGATTTTTTAACGGAATTATAGAAGGGAAGGTATACTTATTAAAACAAGTGGAGCCTAAATGGTTTTAACTTTACCACGTTAGCTCCTGCAATGCCAATTTAAACTATCACTTTCTATTAAAAAAAAAAAAAAGGTTAAATTGGGTGGTATTCAGTTCTGATTTAGAAACTCAATAGAAACCTAATGTTTAAGTCACAGTTGTAGCAGCTGAAACAGTATTTAAAGCTGTAGCCATCCTGACCCAAATAAAAAAGGAAAAAGGAAACCCTCTCCTTTAAACCTATTACTGTAGACGTGGCTTTAGGGATTGCATCAGCTGCTAGGGCTACAATTTGGGCTTCTTTTTTTTAATTAAAGATATACATTATCATTACAAGGGAGAGGAAATAGAATTCTGTTGTGTTTAAGAAGTGTAATCTATGTACAGAGGCACTGACCTTGAAAGAAAGCTAAAGTTAAAAGAACAACCTATTAAAATAAGTTCTCTACTCATTTTTAAGTATCGCAGTTGCCTACATTAAAGACAAAAACCAAAACCTCTCTAAGCAACGTCTAAAAATTTTTACTTGTAAAGCAACATTTGCACGCGCCAGCTACACGCATTTAATTTCCAAACATATTCCAAAGTCAGGTGCCACTACTCCCACTACATCACATTGAGACTTCAAATCCACATATTTTTCCCTTTTTTATTTAAGCATGCTTTTTACCATAAGCATTTTACTTAGAAATTTTGCAAGTTTTTCTTTTTTAATAGTACATCGCACTATCTACATTCTGTTATTTTTGCTCAGGAAACAAATATGAGACTCATAGGACTTTCCAAAGTAATGGGGGATGAGTGTGACAAAACGCTGCAAAAACTTTACCTGTCCAGCAGACATCTGGTGATCATTCTCTACACGGATCCTACACATTATAAAAATTATTAAAGAAAAGTAATTTTTTTAAAAAGTGTAACCTTTTACCGAGACCTACGGAGAACAGTAAAAAACAGTTGTATAAAATGTAGTTCAGTAACATTCTATTGCTTTTACCCACAAAATGGAAGTATCCTCTCTAGCGTTTGCCAAAATCAATGCTCGTGAACCCAGAGAACATGTTTTAGAATTCTTCTAGATTATATGCTGGGCTGATTTTCCAAAATAATTTTCAAACATATTGACTCGAATCAAAACATGTCTGAACCTCTGATGTTGTAGTAAATGAAAAATATGTATGCTTCAGTGCCTGGGATAAAATCTAAACAAAATATAAACATAAACCCCATCCACCCTCCAACAAAGAAAAAAATATTTTCAATGTTTTCTTGAAAAATTTGAACTCCACTGCTTTTCAGAACTGTATTTAATAGAGGTGAAGAATGTATAAGGCCAAATCTATAGATCTATCTATCAGCAGAATTATATCCATCAAAAACGTGAAGAGGTATTCTTGACCTGCAGTTTATCCTGCCAAAGCCTCTAGCATTGCAGTTATATCATCACACCTGCTTTTACTGGCATAACTGCTTTGATGGAGAGCATTCAATGTGTATGTGGTAAGTTATGCTGGAAAAGACAGGAGTTTATATAGAGAATGAACTACATCGACATTAACAGTATTTTGCCAGAGGAGCATATTAGCCAAGCAATCCTAGTATGGTCTTGCCTAACTTCAAGCTTTCCTTTGATTTCATCGTCAGTGTAAAAAACTGCTGCCAAGCTTTGCACTCTGCTCCTGTAATTGACAATGCAGTGGCAGGTTGTGCCACCCACAGACACTCTCACTCGCATCAGCGTAGCTTTCGACCAGCATATTGCTCTGTCTCTACATGATCAAAGACTGGATCAGAACCTTCTTCAGCATATCTGCACACCCGTAACCGTCTACCTATAGGTCTCATTATCAAGGATGCTGAATTCCCCCACTGGTGCCAGAAGTATTTGGAATTCTTATCAAAACATATATACATACACACACACACAAAATCAGACCTTATATTCAAGTTCCTAATGAAGATATAATTATTTTAATGCCTGCCATTCCAGTTTGGATGTTCTAGGCCTTGTATTTCCTTCCTGTGGAAGACAGGAGAGCAACCATTACAAATGTTTCAAAAGCATAGTGTGTTTTGGACTTGAATACCAAAACAATGTGAAATGGGTCTGTAAAGGCTTCTGTTATTTGGTTTCAACCAATAACATCTTCACAAACTTCACTTCAGCATTGCTGCAAACAGTGGCAAACGTTGTACTTAAGGGCATCTGTTTTATTTCACTATGTCAGCTACTGGTGCTTATCAGCAACAGAGGACCGTACACTAATATTCCCAAGTGTACTTCATATTGCCAGTCAAAGACAGTGTGGGTATTTTTTATTTTTTGAATATACAACTTTTCACAGTTTTGATTCAGAAGTGGTTTTTAGCAACTCGTGCATGACCTCTATCTGCTCTAGAGAAGAAGAGTAGCCTCGATTTAAAAAAGAGAGTGGAATTAACTGTTTATTCACATCTTTTAATTACAACAGTATCTTTCTTCCCATCTGTTTACCAAAGTCCTGAAATCCAAACTCTTAAGATAAAAACAAATTCCCCATAAACGTCACTCATTTGAGTCAGGAGATCTTGCTGGTTAATCATTTATACGTAGTTTACATCTGTAGTTATCCAAAGAAACCAAAACAAATGAGAAAAGGATTGGACCTCAGAAGTGCAGTGGGATGGAAAAGTGAAGCACTGGCCTAACAGATGTGGTCTGAGGTGCTCTGGTTGCATATAACATGTGAAGCAAGATTGTTTTATAGGGAAGCAAAACCTCCTGCATTTCTCCAGTACCTGCTGTGTTGATAGGGAAGAAACGGAGCCTGTCAGCATGTGTGATGTGCCACTGATAACTCTAGCATCACTTTAGCCTGTCATCAATGAAGTAATGAGCACATTATTTACAGAAAATCGTATTTGCTACCTACTAACCCAAAACGCACTGCTTCAAAGGCTTCCACTCACAGGCTTGATTTTTCTGTAACACAGTGAGTACATTCACACTGCAATCTCTCAATTGCTTTTCCTGCCTAAGTAGATCATAAAAATACACGGTCAAGGAAAGTTTTTTTTCATGTATTAGTGAGTGCCAGACAAAATCTGCTATTATACTTGTTTATGCCCTCCAAGAAAATTTTTTCTGACTTTCAAACCTCTGTACCTCGAAAGTCTGTGTAGAATGTCACAATTTCCTTTTCCTTTCAGCATTCATCCACACTTACGCACAAATTCAGAAAGAAACTTAAGCCCCATTACCTTTCAAGGAAACATTTTCCTAACTTAGAGCCACAGACACCTTAAAAATGAATTTATGTTAAGAAAAATTAAAAGTCTCTGAAATATAAGGCTGTGTCTTTAGAGAGCTAAATGTGGAGGCAGGTGTCCAACTTTTAGCCTTTAGGTTTGACCTCATTAACTTTCAAATTCCTAGGGGTAAATATTTTTATCTATATTTCCGGTCTACCACTGAACACACAGTGTCATTTAATAAGCAGATTTGTGCCTACAGCGAATGTTGAACTCAATTCTCATTGAAACAGTTGGGTCAGGATTCAAGAAGAAATGTGTAATTTTAAATCCCCAGTGTTTCTCCCGCAGCTGAAGATCTTTCACATCCTACTTGCCAAAAGACCAACCACCTTCAGAACTGAAACCTGGCAGTATATACAACAGAATATTGTAGTGGTTTATTTATTGGAGTTAATTAGAGGTAGGACTGTGATCCAGAACATGGCTCCATAATGCCATTACAACTTACATTGGAGTATCTTCTTCTATTTATATCAAGGAGATGGAAAGATGCTATGAGGACAATACCTGAATTTGAATTAGAGACACTGATTTCTGTAAAGTCTTAACCATTTAGAGTCTTAACCACTTAAAATCACAGTCCCTGGGCAGCAATGCACTGTTGAGCTCCAGTTTTGCCAAAAAGCATATACATGAGAAAGAAGAAGGAAGTGTTCTGACAGTCTGTACCAATATTCACAAGTGTATTTTACAGTACTAGAATAGAGTAATTTAATCCTACAGTTAAAATATATTAAACAATACCTGGCAGGAGCCGTTGGGTAAATTACTTTTATATGTTGGAAAGCCATGTCTTGATTCAAAATTTGTTTTATCCATGTTCTTGCTCCTTGGCCAGTATCACCTGTATCACACAGAAGAGTACAACAAGAATTATTCTGTGCATTTAGAAAGAAAACTACACAGTGTCAAATATATTTATGCCAGATTAACCTAATTTCTACATCACAAGGTTAATCCTCCAAAATGCTAAAGAAGAACTTTCTAGAATAACCTCAATCCCCTTTCCAATGAAGACGGACTCAAAACTTCCTAGAAACAGACCATGTAAGAGGTCCCACAGCATAAGTTTAATAAATACTTTACTACACCCAATGGCTTAGTATCTCCCAATCAGGCACAAGGCCTTACCTCTTACTTGCATCTTACCTTATTTGCTGATAACAATGATAAACAAAAAATACTGATGAACATCTTAAAAAGTGAGATAAAACACCTGCTGCTCCTCTTAGAAAAGATAATTACTTTTACTACAGAATTTTGTATTAACCCACTTCAAAACTTAGTCAAGACCAATGAAAAGGATCTTAACATTTAATAAAGCTTATGTGTAATATTAGCATAAAGGGAAGTATCAGTCAAACACTCCCAATGTTTTGTAGAAGTCCTCAAGAGAAGAGTTTGGGTTAAAATATCTGGCAGGCTCCTCAAAAGCCTTAATCCCACAGTTCCGTTTGAAAGCTAGTCGAGATCTGACTCTCATTGTGCTTCTTCCTAGTCTTATCAACTCAGCCTATAGCTAAAACCCCTGCAGACTGAAGTGCTATGAACAGATATACAGGATGAATTCTTACGCAGACAGCATATGTTCCTTTCAAACAAGTATACATATATACACCAGACAGTTTCTAGAGCTTGTCTTTGTGTCACTGCTGTCTTCAACTATAACTTCACTGCCACCTCTCTGAACAGCATGCACACAGAAGTCTCCAGTAAGAGTTAAACAATGCTTCAAGCCTGAGGAATCCGGCCCATCGAGGAATATGGTTTATAGTAGGCAGTGATACAACACGTAGTAACGTTCAACCTAAAAATTTTGTGGAGATTCAGCAAACTGGAATTTCACTACTGCCACTCATGCCATAGGACTTCAGTCTTGTTTGAAGTCAAGGCTCCCACATATTATCAACTCAAACCGTTAATCTGAGTTAACAGTATTCTCTATTACTTTATCTCAAATTGGTCAGTCTGACTTCAAAACTCACTCTATTCTTCTCAATAAAATGGCCAAATCACAAAAAAAAAAGCCACTGCCCTAAGCCAGGCTTACTGCCACATTACATGGGTTCATCTGAACAATGTCACATGAACATACCAATTTACTGTTACAATGATTATAATTCCCCAGTGGAGAAGATTTGCTCTTGCTTTAGCACTCAAACAAAATTCAGTGATCTTTATTCACACAAACAATTAATGCATCTTCAGAATTAAAATGGAAGGCAAAAAAGGGTTCGAACCCAGCATTATTTTTTTTTCTGTTGCACAAGTGGCACAACCACGAAGTTCTCTCTGACCTAAAGACTCGAAGTGACAAATAAGCAATAGGGTCACAGAACTGACACAAATCTTATTCTGTGCTACGTTAAACAGTACAATCAAAGTTACATCTTTAACTGGATGTTTCAGACCATGTTCCCACAAGCACTTTCCTTATGTGAATAGTATGGTCTTAAGTCCAAACACACGTCTGATTCTTAGTAGACACTCCTGGACATACAAGGGTTTCCTCATGGTTGCTGTCACCTAATTTATTAACAATATATCTTAAGGAGGCTTGAGTAAACATTTGTTTTCCTATACACTCCTCTTTTTTCAGTTAGAAAGCAAAAGTCTAGGCTTTGCAAATACTTGCACAGGACCAACCCTCAGGTAGGTCAACCTAAGCCACTATCTGAATGCTTACAGAATTGGAACTTTCTTAGGTCTTTACAAACTCCTTAATGGTGCAGGACACATATTTAATTATTTATTCACATTTCTTAAGCTTTGCCAAGATCAGCAGAAACATTTACAGTTAATAAAGCTAGTTTGCCCATGAGGAGTTCATAGAAAACTCATTAAGTAAGAGAAAATTTAACTATTAACTGCTGTGTGTCAAAAGTCCCCCCATGGTCCAAATGCTCTGCAACCATTGTCAGCACTTGCATGCAGAGGTAATGCATTTTGATCTGGTAAGAATAGAATTTGGAGGGGAGGGAGAAAGAGAGGAGACTGTGACACCAAACAAAACCCAACAACCTTCTGAAAGGTTTGTCTTTCAGGCTGTTCTTAGATGTTAGCATTGTATGTTCTTCTTTACACTACTAAAAAGAAACAAACGATGCACAGACAATTCTGCTTTGAGTCTGTTTCTAAACCTGAAATAGACTGATGGCAGCAATGTTATCTTCCCCCCCCAAGTAGAAGATGAATTATTTTCCTTTCAAACATAGCTTGAATTTCCAAATTTTCTTTCCGTGCAAATTTTAAACTTAACAACATGTAACATGCATGTTACAGCATGCAAAGTCATAAACCTAAGTCTAAAAATTCATTATACATTTGTTATGTCCATTTGCCTTCCCTGCTGAGTCACCAAATGGATCCTCTACCTAAGTTTGATGTACAGTACTGGGAATATTCTAATATTTTTCTATACCATTTTGCATTTACATCCTCCACTTGTTACAATTTGTCTGGAGCAAGCATTATGAACAAAATGGAGTCATGCCATTTGACCGCCACTTTCCATCACAAGCGCTGTACAGAAGGCACCAATTCAGGTTTACAGGCCAGCCCACAGCACTGTGGCTACTTCTGTTTTAAATTCTGTTCTGTGGAACTGCTAAACAAAACCAAATAAAAGCACCCTTGTACTTCCCCATTGCAAACATTCTGAATGAAATCATATCAAAAATGAAAAATTGTAGAGTACTTTAACCACATGTGGAATCAACCTCTAACCATAATCTTCCCTTACTCCTCCAACATGAGAGAAAATTATTTCCTCAAGCATTAAAGCATTAGCGTTAACAAGAGGGCTGAACACATCTTATGAATTCTCTTTCACTTTCATTCTTTAACTCACAGAATTTGAGAAAAGCAGAATTAAACTAATTATAAAAATGAAACTAATTTAATAAGCACGTACATCTTTGTTAAACTAAATAGAATCACCAGCTAAAAGCAGAACTAAGAGAAAGACACTGAAAGAGTTGAGCATGTTGCTATATGCACGTGAACAGCTCAACAGTATTGATTCCCAAGGCCTTGACCTAATAAAGACCTATGATTACTGTTTTTTTCTTTTTTTTTTTTTTTTAAAGTCATGTGGACTTTGTTGTGGTTATTTAGCAGGTAAGAAATAACCATTAAGAAAAAACCCCAACAAAACACGCCCTGCCCTCAGACTGGTCACTGATGCAGGTCCCTTCTGCAGATGGTGGCCATGAAGCCAGTCTGGACACGGCTAGGACCCTTCCGCATGGAGAGTCAGTCTGTTAACACTGGCTTTTAAAAGGTGACAACAATACTCTCAGTCTGATCCTAAAAACGCCAAGAGCCACTCTAATTATGAAAATCATCCTTTGCATGTGGCTACTCTTAGAGCGGACGAATTAAGAGAATATCTTCTGGAACGCGTCTGTTCTCATGGCGAAGAAAGCCAGGCTGGTGTATAACGGCACCGTCCCTAAAACACACCCCACGGACCCACCTCAGGCCCGGGAAAGCCCAAACGCTAGACCCAGTCCGGGCACACCCACACCGCTTTGCCCACGGAGGCCCCTCCTTGCCGGCCAGCGCCGCGCTGTCCCCAGGGGAGGACAGGGTAGGCTAGAGCCGCAGGGACAGGGACACCTCACACCCCTTCCCCTCCCTTTCCAGCCACGCCGAGCCTGGCGGCTGC